TTTGTTGGCATACAACTATTCATAATATTCTCTTAGGACTCTTTTTTTAATGGTGGAATTCGAGATAATTTTATTAATAATCACATTGTTTATAGCTTACCAATAAACATATATTAAGGATGACAATTTAATACCGCCGCAGATATAAACAGAAATACATATTCTCAAAGGAAAGAAAAGCCTTGAGACAGAGTTCAAGATCTCAATAATAAGAGATGTGCATTCTGGGCAGCCCGGGGGGCTCAGAGGTTTAGCACTGCCTTCTGCCCAGGGTGTGTCCTTGGAGACCCGGGATCAAGTCCCACGTCAGGCTCCGTGCATAAACCCTGCTTCTCCCTCTGCCTGTGTCTCTGCCTCTCTCTCTCTCTCTCTCTCTCTCTCTCTCTCTCATGTCTCTCATGAATAAATAAATAAAATCTTTTTTTAAAAAGAGAGATGTGCATTCTGTAGCGCCAATAATAAATATTCTCACAGCTCTTCTCTTTTATTTCATTTTTTTAGTAATCTCTACAAGCAATGTGGGGCTCAAATTCATAACCCCAAGATCAAGTGCCACGTGCTCTGAATGAACCCGCCAGGCACCCCTCTCACAGCTTTTCTCTCTCAGGTGTAACAGGGTTAGGGTCTGCAGTGATGTCTTCTCAATTCTCCAACATCCACTCCACACTCAGGTGGCTCCACATAGCCCAGAGTGAGGCCCTCATAGATGCTCTTCTGGGACAGAGCACAATGTGGACTTCCAGCTTCCGTCATTAGGTCCCAACGTCCTAGGAACCATGTCTCAAATTAAGTTTGGTCACCATGAACTGTTTGATTAGAAAACCAGTAATGGGATAAAGCTGATATATAAACATTCCAAGTGGATTTCAGGGGAAGTGACAGCAAATTGGAAAGAGATACAAAGATATTTAGAGAGTCTTGGAAATTCACAAATTCATTTAAAAAGAAAATACCATTAACTCAATTTCAGGAAAAAAAAAAATCCCAGACTCCTCTAATTCCTGGTCCCTGCATCCATATTCTCCTAAGATGCTTCTTTGTTGAAAGAGGAACATTGAAGCTTAGGGAAAGATTTCAAGTATTTTCCTAGCTTTTCATTCCCTCTTGTATATATCCTCCAATTAAATGTTAACTGGTAGCTGGTCATCCAGAAGCACAGACTGTCGTGGCTTTTACGTCCTTCGTAGTGCCTTCCTAAATATCCACTTGTCAACTGCATCTTTAAGCTCACAAGTAAACACTGACGGCTGTAAAATGTAAACTCACTGGTAAAAACTGATCTTCGATCAAATAGATCATGGAAACATCACGTCACTTCCACTGCCAACACAATACATTCTAAAGAATCAGGGCATTTTTAAAAAAAGAATCAGGGTATTTCAAGTTTTTATTGATTTTTTGACGAGCGGGGGCAGAGGCAGAGAGAGAGTCCTAAGTGGGCTCCGCCCTGGGCATGGAGCTAGGCATGGGGCTCGATGTCATAACACATGACATCATGACCTGAGCAGAAACCAAGCCAGCTGCACAATCAAATGAGTCAACCGGGTGCCCCAGGATTCTATTCTATTTCTTTCTAAAGATCCCATCCGGGCAGCCCTGGTGGCTCAGCGGTTTAGCGCCTGCCTTCAGCCCAGGGCGTGATCCTGGAGACCCCGGATTGAGTCCCACGTCGGGCTCCCTGCGTGGAGCCTGCTTCTCCCTCTGCCTGGGTCTCTGCCTCTCTCTCTCTGTGACTCTCGCAAATAAATAAATATAATCTTTTAAAAATAAATAAAATAAGAACATATAATGTTTGTCCTTTTCCGATTGACTTACTTCACTCAGCATAATACCTTCCAGTTCCATCCACGTTGAAGCAAATGGTGGGTATTGGTCGTTTCTAATGGCTGAGGAATATTCCATTGTATACACAAACCACATTGTATGTTCTCATTCATTTGGGGAATATAAATAATAGTGAAAGGGAATATAAGGGAAGGGAGAAGAAATGAGTGGGAAATATCAGAAAGGGAGACAGAACATGAGAGACTCCTGACTCTGGGAAACGAACTAGGGGTGGTGGAAGGGGAGGAGGGCGTGGGGTGGGGGTGAATGGGTTACGGGCACTGAGGGGGACACTTGATGGGATGAGCACTGGGTGTTATTCTGTATGTTGGTAAATTGAACACCAATAAAAAATAAATTATTTAAAAAAAAAAACCAAAGGTGGTACCTTATTAAGAAGCTCTTGGCATGTCTTTGAGGTGGATTTCAGATTCAAAATGACTTTACCACACTAACTTGTTCACTCGGTATTTATCAATAACTTAGAGGCTTCATTCAAGAAGCTTACTGAGTTATAATTACCTGAAACCCAGGGTCAATCAAGGTCTTGTGGGGCCTGAACCTCATCTACTTTGGAAAATCCTGTCTAATAAAAACATGCAAAATCATGAGTATAAAAATTGCTAGGACTCCTCTCAAGACCTTGGAAGGGGTCTATGGAAGTGAGGTGCCCTGAAGTTCAAGCTTTGGTCAGTTCAAAATAAATCCACCTCAGCTAGGGCCTATAAATTTTACAGAGTTCTTTAATGCCAGAGAAAATATTGTTTCAACTTATAAACACCTTGGTAACATGTCACACAGGTAATAACATGACTAATTCAAGGGGTGGCATCTTCCCTTGGCAACTTGCCTTTGGAAAGAAATGCAATGAAGTTTGTATTTAACTATGGCCGAGATTTCCTAAAGCAGACTAGGTTTGTCTATTAGAAAAATTTGGCCCCAAACAAAAAAGGAGCCTAACCCGCAGTACACACTTACTGTATTGTGATAATCTTTCAGAAGGAACTGTGAATTAGTTTTCGAAGCTCTATTCAAGTCACATGACATGAGTATTAATTTATTATCAATACTGGCTAGGGGATCCCTGGGTGGCGCAGCGGTTTAGCACCTGCCTTTGGCCCAGGGCGCGATCCTGGAGACCCGGGATCGAATGCCACGTCGGGCTCCCGGTGCATGGAGCCTGCTTCTCCCTTTGCCTGTGTCTCTGCCTCTCTCTCTCTCTCTGTGTGACTATCATAAATTAATTGATTAATTTAATTTTAATTTAATAGACCTGCCCTATGACCCAGCAATTGCACTGCTGGGGATTTACCCCAAAGATGCAGATGCAGTGAAACACCGGGACACCTGCACCCCGATGTTTCTAGCAGCCATGTCCACAATAGCCAAACTGTGGAAGGAGCCTCGGTGTCCATCGAAAGATGATGGATAAAGATGATGTGGTCTATGTATACAGTGGAATATTCCTCAGCCATTAGAAACGACAAATACCCACCATCTGCTTTGACGTGGATGGAACCGGAGGGTATGATGCTGAGTGAAATGAGTCAGTCGGAGAAGGACAAACATTGTATGTTCTGATTCATTTGGGGAATATAAAAAATAGTGAAAGGGAATAGAAGGGAACGGAGAGGAAATGTGTGCAAAATATCAGAAAGGGAGACAGAACATGAAGACTCCTAACTCTGGGAAATGAACTAGGGGTGGTGGAAAGGGAGGAGGGTGGGGGGTGGGGGTGAATGGGTGATGGCACTGAGGGGAGCGCTTGACAGGATGAGCACTGGGTGTTATTCTATATGCTGGTAGGTTGAACACCAATAAAAAAATAAGTTTATTTTTAAAAAAAGCTCAAACAACTAAATATTTATGCTGCCAACATGGGAGCACCTAAATAATACAAACCAATTAACAACAAACATACAGGAAGTTGTGCTATATGTTGGCAAATGGAACTCCGATAAAAAGAAAAAAAGAAAGCACATCCCCGTCAGGCCATCCCCGTCAGGCCGCGCTTCCGCGCACAGGGCACAGCCTAGTGCTCTCTTTCCGGGGGATCTTGGCAGCTCCTCTCGGTGGTCGGTGGTCGGTGGGCGAAGCACATAGGATTGGTGGCAGCTCCGGGCATTTGGCTGCCGCCTGCTGCAGCTCCCAGTCATTAGTCAGCGGCAGCTCTGCCTTGCCCCGCGCCCCCGACGTCCACGTGTCAGGGAGCAAGAGCAGCCCTTTGCCCTGAAGGCCGCTGGGCACAGCCGCCCGCCGTGTCCGGCCCCCTGTAAAGCAGGGCTAGTGTACAAGGGGGTTGGGCTGACGTGTGTCCCTCCCTCCCCACGGACTGCGGACCCCCACGCCCCAGGGCCTCCTGGGAGCCGCGGCCTTCCCGAGGGGCCCGCTGTCCGAGGTCGGGGGGCTGCGCCCCGGTCCCACGGGCCCGCCTCCTGATGTCACGGGGCCCCCTGGACCCCCAGAGGGCGGCCAAGGGCAGACGCAGGGTGAGGACCACCGCCCGTGAGCCAGGGACCCAGGCCCGCACGGCCTCGCTCTCGGCCCGGAGACCCCCGCGCTTCCGGCCGCCGCCCCGGAGGGGCCACGTGGCAGGTGCTCGGCCACCGGGGCCCCGTGTCGCTGCCGCCCGGCCGACGCACGCGCAGCACCTGGAGGGCGAGGCGGCCACGCTCCCTGCTGGGCAACGGCAGTCCCCCCCCCCACGCGCCGCGCCCGCCTGCCAGGTCGAGGCCACCCACGCGCTGCCAGCCGCCAGGGAGCCAGAGCGCCCAGCACCGCGGTCACTGCTGCCAAGGCCGGCGCACACGTGCACTCACGCGCGGCCCTGGCCGTTCTTGCACAGCCACGCTTCGCAAGGTCTGTGTCTGCGGGCCGCGGGCGGCACACCCCGGAGCTTGGCTCCCACCAGCAGGGCTCCCCCAAACAGGGCTCCCGCCAGCACAGCTGCTCCGAGCAGGGCTCCCGCCAGCAGGGCTCCCCCAAGCAGGGCTCCCGCGCCAGCCCGCACATCAGCAGAACCCGCAGGCGCCACCACAGTCACCCCAGGCCCCGGCGGCCACCGCGCCCTCCATCCTGCCACGCCGGCCCCCCGGCCCACCGGGGGTCTCCCTCTGTTCCTGGCTCACACCCCCCTTCGCCTGGTTTGCGTGTTTCAGGTACAGGTCAGGGCCGGAAGCGTTCTCATCGGCGACTTTATTGCTCACCTGGGTTTCTCTTAAGCACCGACGAGCGGGTAACAGAGGGCACGCGTGTGCGAGCAACAAGAGGGGACACAGGTACAGCGGGAGGTGCTTCTAGCTGTCTCTATCGGCAAGGCCAGGGCCAGGAGGGTCAAGGGGCCGCAGCGAAGGAGGCAGGCAGGCTGCTTCCCCCGCAGGAGGGATCCAGATGCTTATTCTGGAAGCCCGATCTAGGGAAAGCCAAAAGGGAAAAAAGCGGAACCCCCCACTTCGGACTGAAAGGTCTGGCTTAAAGCCCGCACCGCCCGAGGCACACCGGGTCACACGGGGTGCCATCAGCAGCAGGCAGGGAGCAAGCGCACCCCGGGAAGGGAAGCTTCGGAAGACCCGTGGCGCCCAGCCACTGCCAGGCCCTGCCCCCAGAGCGTGGCTCCGCCGGCCCGGGGCCCAGGCACGAAGGGCTGCACAGCTCCTGGCGGCTGCTGCTGCGTGGCCCGCGTGGACGCCACAGCCAGAACCCCAGGAAAGTTCCCCAGGAAGTCACCGTCTGCCTCTCTCACTGCGCCTGCATCTCATCTTCGTCCTTTCAACTCCCATTCAGAGGAGGAAGCCAGAGGAGGACTCGAAGCCCAGCCCTACACCGCTGGTGGCTGTCACCCACCCGGTCAGTCCAACTGCTCTGTCCTATTGCAGGCAGCCTGCACCCTTCCTTCTGCCTGCAGCCACCGGCCCTGGCCGCGGTGTCCAGCAGGAGACGAGATGTCCCGAGGAACGGCAGTTCCCATACCTGCAAGGGCCTGCCCCACACCACACCAGCTTTCCTTCCCACGGAGCGCCAAGTGCCTCTGCAGCCCAGCAGCCACCCTCACCCCAGGGGACAAGCCCCCACAATGGAGCTGCCAGTCCTGGAGACACTGGTCCTCAACTGCACCTGCCCTAGTCTGTGGGCCCCAGGAGATATCCCTGTGCCGGGCCGAATGGTGGCCCGAAAGACATATGCACGTCCTACTGCACAGAATTTGTGATTATGACCCTATTTGGGAAAAGTCTTTGTGGATGTAATGAAGATAAGGACCTCAAAATGACGTTAACCTGGATGATGGAGGTGGGCCCTAAACCCAGTGACTGGTGTTCTTGTAAGGGACAAGAGAAGATGCAGCCAGGAAAAAGAAGAGGCCACGTAACCACAGAGGCAGAGAATGGAGTGACACGTCTACCGGCCCAGAATGCCACGGGCCACCACCCATGGAGGCTGGGAGACAGGCCTGCAGCTGATCTTGCCATGAGCGCCACCAAAAGAAACCAACTCTGCTGTCACCCTGATTTTAGAACCATGAGAGAATGAATTCTTGTTCTAAGCCAAGCTGGTCATTTGTCACAGTGGCCACGGGAAATAAATATATCCCCCGAAACTGAAGTGCTAATGCAGAAAACTGCAGGTCAGGACTGAAACAGCACCCGGGAGTGGGGAGCCCGTCTGCGCCTTTAACGTTTTCCCAAAGTTCAGTCATCTGCGAGGAGACATCCGGGGTCCGGGAACCGGAAAAGGTGCTCCCGCTGCTGCACACGCCAGGCGCCCCCCGGGCCAGTCTCGTCTCCAGAACGGGCTGCCGGCCAGGCTGTCTTCGGCGACACCCCATTCCCAACCAGGGGAGGCCAGGGCATTCTTCCTCCACTTCTGATGTCCTTTGCTGACAACTGCGGGCTTAACGCCCTTGGCTTTGGCATCCGAGGAAACAGCCAGAGATCTTGCAAAGCAACAGTAAGGGGCCCTCTAGCGTTCAGAACCTGCCAATTGTCACCAAGTGGCTTCCCTTCACAAGGCTGGGGCATTTGGGGCTGGTGTGGGGAGCAGCATCACAAGCTTCTGCAACGTGATGAAAGGCAGCCACCACACAGAGCGGCAACACTCTCCAGGAGGACAAGAGCACGCGGTGGTGGTCGGTCGGAAAAGGAAAGGAAAAGTGCACATGTGGAAGCACCTCCCGGTCAAACCATGAGCCTGTCACAACAATGGTAAACCCAAAGCAGGGAAGGGAAGGTGCACAGACATGGCCACACAAGGATGACCAACTTCAAGCCCAAAACACACTCACAAAGTTAGAGGAAGAGAAGACAGTGGCAGTTTCTATCATACACAAGAGCCCATCCCACCAGTGACCAAAGAGCTCAAACCCACTGAGGAACAAAAGACTTACAGCCCAACAGAAAAATGGGCAAAACGTACAAACGAGCCATTAAAAGCAGAACTGGAAAGGGTCCTTCAAGCTCCGCAAACACGCTCAGGCTCAATAGAGAGCGCCGTGCCCAACAGATGGCAAAAGCCCGCAGGCCGGGCGCCCCTCGTGTGGGCAGGACTCAATGCTCAGCAGTGCTGCTTCTAAGACCCTGACCCAAAGAGACACGTAAGTGACGCCCAAGGATGTTCAGTGCAGCATTGTTTGTGACAGTGAGTGGCGAGGGCCCAAGTGTTCATCCGAAGCTGACTGGTTAAATGGGCCGGTGGTGCAGCCTCCAAATGGAATACCACGCGGCCCACGAGGGCGCTGGGGCCACGGTGTGCGGGAGCGTGGGCGGGAGGCAAGGTTTCTGCCCATCTTGGCTCGAGAAGTTCTCTGAGAGCCCTGGCCTTGATTCTTGAGTTCCCCGGTGGACGTGGAAACAGAGGGAGCCCTGGGGCAAGCAGTTCAAGTGGACAGAACGAGCGAAAGGAGCAGAGCATCAGGCCTAACCGGGGTTCCACGGGCCCTAAAAGAGGCAAACCAGCAGATGGGGGAGCTGAAGCGTAAGGTCCTAGAGCTACCTCGTGGGGCGCACAGAAGTGGCCTGTTCTGTGTCACCTAGCCCATAACTCTGGACCGGGCAGGCAGGAGAGCTCGCACCGGGCCGTCCTGTGCTGCTTACTGGCAGGCAGCCCTACTCGATGCACTCCATGACGTGTATCTGCAGGGTGTCCATATCAGGGGCCTGATACTGGCACTTGGGGCAGCAGAAGTCCGGCGGCTCCTCAGGGGGGCTTCTCCTCTGGATGGACACGGGCACGTGAAAGGAGGCGTGAACTGGAGAAAGAGAGGAAGCAGCAGAGAGGACTGAGACTTGCTAGGCCTGTCGGGTCGGCCACTGGGGTCACCGCCGCTTGCGCCTTCCCTCTCGGCCCGCCCCGCCCCCAGGAGGGGACTGCACTCGGGACAATGACTCTGGGGAGGCGAGATGGGCCCTTCTCTGGCACCCTGCCCTCTCCATCCTCCCTCCGACCGCTCACTCACCTGGGGTGACGGGTAAGGGAGCCTGGGAGACCTCCACGTGCCGCTTCCTCAGATCTTCAATCCTTTGAGAAGAAAAACTGTCAGATCAAAAGTATGCACGGAGGGGATCCCTGGGTGGCTCAGTGGTTGGGCGCCTGCCTTTGGCCCAGGGCCTGATCCTGGAGTCCCAGGATAGAGTCCCACGTCAGGCACCCTGCATGGAGCCTGCTTCTCCCTCTGCCTGTGTCTCTGCCTCTCTCTCTCTCTATCTCTCTCTCTCTCTCTCTATCTCTCTCGAATAAATAATAAATAAATAAAATCTTTTAAAAAAAAAAAAGTATGCACAGAGCCAACGGAAGGACGGGGCAGGACAGGGCAGGAGAGGGAGAGCCGAGAGGGAGGGCAGGCTCAGCCTAACCTGACACATGCAAGCGGTCACCACCGGGACCCCCGCACCCAGTCCCACCCCCCGTGGGGCGGGTCCTCCGAGGCCCACCTGGCCGACTCCTGACAGCTGGCCTTCAGCCTACTGTACTCCCTCTGCAGCTGCTCCAGCTGATCCTGCAGGATCTCCTTCTTCTCAGCCAGCTTCTCCCGGGCCTGCCTCTCGGCCTGGAAGTCGGCCTTGTAGATATCCGCCTGGCAAAGCCAAGAGAGGGGCACGCCCGCCAGCTGTGGGCCATTCACTGCCTGCTGGGGGATCGGGGACAGCCGGCTCCCACCATCCCAGAGCTGGGGCACAGAGAGTCACCGCCAAGCGCAAACAGATCAAGAAAGAGCAAGGGGCTCAAAGGGCTTCCGTGAAGCCACCACAAAATGACACCAGGGACATACCAGGTCCCAGGGCCCAGCAGGCCCAGTCGGCTGACCCGCACACGGGCCACAGAGAAGTGCCCTCACCTGAGCCTTTAGCACCGGGACGGTCTCCATCACGATCTTGTGCTGCTCGGCCTCTTCCTTCAGCTTGTCGATCACTTCCTGTTTGGCCACCAGGGCCTCCTCGGCCTGCTGGAGCTGCTGCTTGAGATCCTCCAGCTGCATTCCCTAGGAACAGGCAAGGGGGAACTGCGGGAGCCCAAACTGGCCCACAGCAGGCACCAGGCCACCACCAGGCTGGCTGCTGCTCCAGGTGAGAACCAAAAGGAATGAATGAAAGATGGGCCCTGGCTGGCCAACGCTGGAGTGGTGGAGAGCACAAGATGACAGGGCGTGCACGGCACAGGAAAGGCAGAGGCTACAGGGAACCTCTGACGTCATGTGGCACAACTTCCCACCCAGGCCAACACTCCCTTCCCAGAATCCCCAGCCAGACAGCCCGCCTCTAACCTTTCAGTGGACAGGGCCATCCTCCCTCCTGAGGCCATCCCCTCCACGCTCAGCTGCTCTCCTGTGCTAACAGTCCACCACATGCCGCCACGAAGCTGAGACCTGTGGGTCCTGCCACCCTGCCATCCTACAAAGGTCTGCTGCTCCCTCCCAGATGCCCCCAGCCCCCAGATGCATGCACACACAAACACAGCCACACACGCCAGCAAGCCTTCCTCCTGATCGAAAGGCCACAGTTGTGTAACTAACTCTTCCTGGTGTGGTCGGTGTCAGGTGTTACCCTTACAAGCCTTAGAGATGTCCCCTGGGTACATTCGGGTTTGACAGCATCCTTCTTAAAATGCGATCACTTGACATTGCACCCAGCACAGGTCTGATGAAAACCAACCAGAAGAGGGCTCCCAGCACCTTCGGTAGTGTGATGAAGTGTCCCAGGCCTCACCTTGGCTCTGGGATCTCTGAGCCAGGAGCCAAGCTGGTGGGGAGGACTGGCCACAGAGACAAGCATGTTCCCAGGCCACACAGAGCACCTCCAGAGGCCCGGCCCAGGGGACCATAGGCCACAAACGGCACAGCCCTAGGATCCCAGTCTCCCACCACCCGCGCTGAGCTGTCACACTGTGACCTTGACAAAGGTCTAGGACAAGTCAAACATCCCCCCCAAAATCAAATTCTGGCAAGTGTTCAAATAAGAACTTGAGCTCCCATGGCCCTAAATCAGTGGCAGCAGGTCCCGAGCTCTGCTGTTTCTAGGCGGCAGGGAGAGGAAGCGAAGCAAAGTCAGTCCTACAGTCCCAGCGACAGCCCCACCATACTCACTCGGTTTCGCTCGCTGCTCACCATGCTGCTCTTGATGTGGTTGTCATACTCCTGGAAGAGCTGGTGATAGGCCACCTGTAGCTGGGCCAGCTTCCGCCTAAGGAAGAGGAGCCTTTGCTGGAGAAACCACCTTGTCCTGACCCCGCTCCACGGTCCTCCTCCTCCTCATGTCCACAGACCAGAAAGGGGCTTGCTTGCAGGGTGCGTTTGTGCCTTCAAGGCCAGCAGCCCTAAGACAGGCTTTACTAAATGCTTAGTATCCCTTTGCTTAAGGCTAACGTTTTCAAAACTAAAAACCGTCTATAATAAGGTGGAACAGTCCTGGGCTCTTCAAAAAAGTGAACTCTGTGAAAAACACAGAGATGCGGGAGAAGTGTTCTAGATTAATGGAGACTCCAAGGCACACCAACGGATGCAATGCAGGGCCTGGGACCAGACGCTGTCGCCGCGTGGGCCCAACGGGGGTGTCCGGATGTGGACTGGAGAGCACATACCATCGCATCAGAGATGGATCGTGTAGGTGTGATGACGGTAAGGGACGGCCCGCAGACGGGCTCGCTGACAGGCAGAAAGCCCCCGATGGCCCTCTGGTCTCTGTCCCCCCGGGGGCAGGAAGCCACTCACTTCTCCTCCGAGGCAGCCTGGCGCTCCATGCGCAGGGCCGCCTCCACGCTCTGGCTCTGCATGCGCAGCTGATCCACCTGCACGCTGTGCTGCTGCTGCAGTGCCTCCCGCTCACTCTCCAGCTGCCGGGCCTGCTCGCTGGCAGCCCGGGCCCTGGCACGGGGGAAGGGGGAGGTCATGGGAGGGCCTCGGCAGGAGTGGGGGGCAGGGTGTCGGGGCGCTCACGGGATCCCCGCGGCACTGAGGAGGAGCTTGAAGCCCGACAGCCCTGGAAGCTCTGCGGCCTGCAGGCAGAGCGCTGTCACGGGGGCAGGAGTTGCTCAGAACATCCTGCCAACGCACAGCCGATCTGCCGTGAGAAAGGACGTGGCTCTCGAATGTCAGGAGGGTGGGGGGACACACGTTACCAGAGATGGGACAACCACAGAGAGCCAGCTTGGGGGCGACTCTTTCCCTCCCAGTCACTGTTCTAGAAGCGGCAAGAAGGCGGCTGACCCACCTCCACGGCTCAGCTGCAGTCCCAAATGCATCCGCCTGCAAGAGGAGCCTCCCCAGCCTGGCTGGGTGACAGCAATGGTGCCACAGCTCATTTCTTCTCACCAGGCCCTCCATGCTCTAAGCCCTAGCACCCCCTAGCCCCCAATCTCCCATCTCTAGTCTCCTATCTTCTCACAGCTCCCCAGATCTCTAACCATGTCATCCTGCTGGCCCCAGGCCCTGCACGGTCCCCACCCCACCGCAGAGGCAACAGGGGCTGCTAGGGCGGAAGGGGGTGGGGCCTGCTGGGGATCATTGCTGGTCTTGCTGTTTCTCCACACCTGTCCAAACACACTGAGCATGTTTCCATCTGTGAGCTGACGTGGTCATCACCAGGTGGGCCCGCTGCCTGCCCAGGGCGCGGCGCAAGGGTGAGTGCCACTCCCGCAGGACAGACCCCAGGCTCGGGGGACCTCCGTGTGTCAGAAGCGTAAAGCTCTTCAAAGGGCCACACGGAAGGACCTGAGACACCAGCAGGGCTGTGAGGCCGAGCTGTCCAGCTCACCATCTATATGGCCAGCCACAGGGGGTGGGACACAGAAGGACACTGCCTGGGAGCCCACACTTGCTGACGTCTGTGCATGGTCGCTAATGGACCAAAGTTGCCCCCAGCGTTTTTTTTTTTTTTAAAGATTTTATTTATTTATTCGTGAGCAACACATAGAAGAGGCAGAGACACAGGCAAAGGCAGAAGCAGGCTCCCTGTGGGGAGCCCAATGCGAGACTCGATCCCAGGACCCCGGGATCACGCCCTGGGCCAAAGGGCAGACGCTCGACCACTGAGCCACCCGGACGCCCCACCCCAGCGGTTTCTTTCACGTACACAGAAAACAGGCAGAAAGGACACCAAATTGCCCTAAAAACGACACATGGGATTGTAGACACCTGGAGGCCGGGGCGGGGGGGGGGGGACACAGGGGCAAACAGCAACGCGACAAGCCCAAGGCGAGCAAGCACAACCTTGTGACACCTTTGCTCACACTCCGATTTCTAGATGGAAGCACGTCCACAAGGTCCCCCCAGTGCGGACACCGGCCAACACCATCCTGCCTCTCCCCTGGGGGGAAGGCAGCCCTGCCGCCACCACGGGGGTCCACCTTTCTCTCTGGAGGGCAGCACCCGGGGCCGTGAGAGCCGAGGAAGCACCGGTGCCTCAGACCCGGGGAGCCACTTACGGGAACCCCGCCGCACAGAAAAGAGCAACTGGCCGGCCGCTGGCTTCAGCGGGCCACTTGCGAAGTTGGCCCTCGGGGGGCACCTGGGCGGCGGGCTGCGGCGAGTCCCCTACGCCAACGTGACACCCGTACCACAAAGGATGGTCCCTGTGCCCGGACTGCTCGCACGACAGGAGAGTTTGTGCAGAGCGCCTGCTCTCCCGTGGGAGGCGGGAAACCCTTTCCTGGGATCATTACAGCTGACCTGACCCCTCGCGGACGAGGCCGCCAGACGCCCCTCAGCTGCCTCTCTCTTCTCGGGCACCCCAACGGCAGCCCCGGGGGGGCGTTCCCGTCCCACTCACCTGCCCTCTAAAGCCTGCCGCTCCTTGGTGGCGGCCTCCAAACGACTCTGGCTCTCCTGGAGCTCCCCCAGCAGGGACGTCACCTGGGCTTTCACGGAAGCCTTGTCTTCAGCCATCTGCTGCATGAAAAAAAAGCCACTTCCTGTCAGTGATGCTTTCTTGCCAGCTGCCACCCACCCCCGACATCCCCGAACCCCAGGGCAGCCGGCAGGTACTAAGACATGTCACCTGAAGGCTTCTGTCCTGGCCCCCGACACCACCACCCGTCTCACCACTCACCTCTGGAAGCTTCCCAGGCCCCCGCAAGGAACCGTCCCATGACCCCACACTCCCCAAGCCCTCCTCATGCCTGCAGACACAGGGGCCCAGAGCTGCCTCAAGTCCTATGAGGCTGACGAGCAAGCTGTGAAGAGGGAGTCCAGCAGGACGTGGTGCCGAGGGAGGTTAGACCTCATGGGTCTAAACACACGCTCCAGGGGCGCCTGGGTGGCTCAGTGGTCGGGCGTCTGCCCTTTCGCTCAGGGCGGGATTCTGGGGTCCTGGGATCGAGTCCCGCATCGGGCTCCCTGCGGGAAGCCTGCTTCTCCCTCTGCCTGCGTCTCTGTCTCTCTGTGCCGCTCATGAATAAATACACGCTCCACTCCGCAGGCCAAGGCCACCAGGAGAGAGCCAGCCTGACACTTTCCAGGAGGCCTCTCTAGCAGTGACAACACTCAAGAGTTATCCGAACTCCCCGATGCCTGGTCCCCCTCATCCAACCATCCAGACCAGGTCCCTGGAGACCTCCGGCCGCTCGGCCCAGAGTCGGCACCCAGCCCTCCGCATCCAGACCCCTCGGCAGCAACGGCCACTCCCGGCCCCCGAGCCCCTGCCGCGGCCTCCTGTGCGCGCCCACACCATGCCGGCCACTCCCTCCCTGCCCTGCGAGCGCAGTCCCAAGGCCCCGGCCCTCGTGCCCCAACGTGCCTGCGTGTGCTCTCGACGCCTGCCGTCCCCTGCAGGCTGACAGCTTCCAAAATCACACCTCCAGGACAGATTCCTGCCGTGCGCCCCGGCCTAGCTATGCAGCTACCTGCCCCCTGCCTCCACATCTGTGCCTTCAGCAGGCCCTGGGGCGCGGGCCCACCCTGCTCAGAGGCCCTCGCCAGGAGCTGCAGTGACTCCCACCTGGGCTCCCATCCACTCCTGGGTCATCTATAAAGAATCACGGAGTGGGGAGCTCGAGACACTAACAGCACGTCCCGGTTTGGGAGGCCAGAAGTCTGAGAGCAAGGTGTGAGCAGGGTTGGTGCCTTCTGAGGGGTTGCGGGGGGGGAAATCTGTGCCAGGGTTCCGCCAGCCTCCTGGAGGCTGCCAGCGGTCCCTGGCGCTCCTTGGCTCGTGGGTGCATCACCCCAACCTCTGCCTCCATCATCACGTGGCTGTCTTCCCTGTGTGTCTTTGCGTCTGTCTCTCCTCCGGTAAGGACAGCAATTGCTGGATTTAGACCCAGGCTAATCCACTACGACCACATCTCAACTTCGTTACCTCTGCAAAGACACTCTTTCCAGAACACATTCTGAGGTACAGGGTTTAGGATGTGGACTTTTTTTTTCGTGAGACACCATTTAATCCCGTAATACCCCTGCACACTCTGTAGCCTACAGGAAACCACATCAGGTCTCACGCTATCACAGCAGCCCCCACAGTCTCTGTCACGCTGGAGTCAAAGCCTCACTCCTTCCACTGGCCCTACTAAGCCCACATAACCAGCTCCTACCATGACTCTCCCCACCCACTCTTTAGCCACCTCCACACGGCTTTCAGCCATGTTTGCCTCTTTGGTGTTCCCTGAAAATGACAGGCGTGTCCCTGCCTCAGGACCTTTGCACATGCTTTCCCATCCCCTAAAACATGCTTCCCCCAGATACCCCTCACTGTGTTCTGGTCCTTACTAGAATGCACTTCAGCAAAGGTCTCCCCACTGACTAGTGCAAATACCACCCAGCACCTGGCCTGTCACATCAATGTCTCCACTTGGATATTTAGTAGTGCTCTCAAGACTGCATGCCTGGGACGACGCCTGGGTGGCTCAGTGGTTCAGTGTCTACCTTGGGCTCAAGGCGTGATCCCAGAGTCCTGGGATCGAGTCCTACATCGGGCTCCCTGAGGGAGCCTGCTTCTCTGCCTCTCTCTGTGTGTCTCTCAAAAATAATATTTTTTAAAAAAACTGCAAGCCTGGCAGCCCCCAAAAAGCCAGTTCCACTCACAGCCCTCCTTGTCAGCTGAGAGCAAATCCATCGTCCAGCTACCAGGAGAAAAACCTCGGAGTCCCTCCTGACTCCTCTCTGTATCTCACAGCTCACATCTAACGCATCAGGAAATCCTGTCAAAATATACTGATGGCACGATATGGTGTATCTATTTGATGACGCTAAATGATTAATGTTAACTGTTTAAGGTGAGATAGCGGTTTTGTAGTTAGTCTTTTTTAAATCCCTTTTTAGAGATGTACGCTGGAATTTTCACAGATGAAATCATGGTGTCTACAACTTGCTTCAAATTAGACGGGGAATTCCTAGATATTTACCTGATAATGAAAACACATGTCCACACGCAAATATTCATAGCATTACTGGGGGCGCCTGGCTGACTCAGTGGGAGAGGTAGGAGAATCCTGAGCTCGGGGTCATGAGTTTGAGCCCCACACTGGGTGTAGAGATTACTTAAATAAATAAAACTTTAAAAAATAAATACAAATCAAAACCACCATGAGATCCCACCTCACACCAGTGAGAATGGGGAAAATTAACAAGGCAGGAAACAACAGATGTTGGAGAGGATGCGGAGAAAAGGGGAACCCTCTTGCACTGTTGGTGGGAATGTGAACTGGTGCAGCCACGCTGGAAAACTGTGTGGAGGTTCCTCAAACGGTTAAAAATTATACCTGCCCTACGACCGAGCAATTGCACTGTTGGGGATTTACCCCAAAGATTCAGATGCAATGAAATGCCGGGACACCTGCACCCCGATGTTTCTAGCAGCAATGTCCACAATAGCCAAACTGTGGAAGGAGCCTCGGTGTCCGTCGAAAGATGATGGATAGAGAAGATGTGGTCTATGTATATAATGGAATATTCCTCAGCCATTAGAAACGACAAATAACCATTTGCTTTGATGTGGAGGGACCTGGAGGGTATTATGCTGAGTGAAATAAGTCAATCGCAGAAGGACAAACATTATATGGTCTCATTCATTTGGGGAATAGAAATAATAGTGAAAGGGAATAGAAGGGAAGGGAGAAGAAATGTGTGGGAAATATCAGAAAGGGAGACAGAACATAAAGACTCCTAACTCTGGGAAACGAACTAGGGGTGGTGGAAGGGGAGGAGGGCGGGGGGTGGGGGTGAATGGGTGACGGGCACTGAGGGGACACTTGACAGGATGAGCACTGGGTGTTATTCTGTATGTTGGTAAATTGAACACCAATAAAAATTAATTTATTAAAAAAAGAAACAAAAACTAAGTTTAGGTTCAGAAATCTATTAAAATTAATAATGAAAGTGAATCTTCTAAATATAATAATGAAAGTGAATCTTCTAAATATAAAAGCGATAGAAAAATCAATAAAGGAAAAATTCAATGAATTGACAAAAATTTCCAACTTCTGTAATAAAGCTCATAAAGTCAAAAAAAATAAAAAGAAAAATAAAAAAGAAATACGGAGGCGCTTGGGTGGCTCGATTGGTTAAGAGTCTGCCTTTGGCTCAGGTCATGATCCCGGGTCCTGAGATCCAGCCCCGAGTCAGGCTCCCTGCTCAGTGGGGAGTCCGCCTCTCCCTCTCCCTCTGCCCCCTGCTCATGCACCCGTGCTCGCTCACTCTCTAATAAACATAATCTTGCAACAGCTAAAGAGTGGAAATTACCCAATTGTCCATGAACTGGTGAATAGCTAAACAAAACGTGGCCTCTCCATACACTGGACCAGGACGCCACCATAAAAGGGAAGGACGTACTCCTACAGGCTACAACACGGATGAACCTCGAAGATATTTACACTGAATGAAAGAGGCCAGATGCGAGGGGCACGTACTGTATGATTCCATTGGTACGAAATGTCCAGAATAAGAAGCCCGCAGACAGAAAGCAGAGTGGAGAGTGCCAGGGGCTGAGGGGAAGGGCGCAGAGTGCCTGCTAATGAGGATGCACTTTCTTTGGTGGGGGCAGAGGTGGATGTTTTGGAACCAGGGAGCGGCAATGGTCACACAAGTCTATGAATATACTAAAAAGCCCCCGGATTCTATACTTTAAAAGAGTGAATTCTGAGGCACCTGGGTGGCTTAGTCAGTGAAGTGTCTTCCTTCAGCTCAGGTCATGGCCCCAGGGTCCTGAGACTGAGCCCCACGTCCAGCTCCCTGCTCGGCCGGGAGCCTGCTTCTCCTTCTCCCCCTCCTCCTCCCCCTGCTTGTGCCCTCTCACTCTCTCAAATAAATCTTTTTTAAAAAATAAATAAATAAAAGGGTTATTTTATGGTGTGTGAATTCTATCTCAGTAAACCTTTTTTTTTAAAAAAAAAAAAAACCTCCAGGGGATCCCTGGGTGGCTCAGTGGTTTAGCGCCTGCCTTTGGCCCAGGGCACGATCCTGGAGTCCCGGGATCACGTCCCACGTCGGGCTCCCGGCATGGAGCCTGCCTCTCCCTCTGCCTGTGTCTCTGCCTCTCTCTCTATGTCTATCATAAATAAATAAAATCTTTAAAAAAAATAAAATAAAAAAAACTCCAACCTATGGTTCTACTGGCTTCTCCAGTGATGGGCACTTGCATGGTGCCTGGGTTGTTGTGCCAGTCAACATGGAAGAGCTTCTCTTAGAGGTGCACCTGGGGTGAGGCTGCTGAGTCTGCAACCTGAAGACAAAATGCTCAACAGTTTTTCAAAGTAGTGGCGCCAACTGCCACTGCCACCAGCAATATGAAGTCGGGTCCCCTCCAATAGCCGCTACTGCCAGGCGTGTCAGCCAAGAAAGAGCACTGCGGCAGCGGCGGTCCTGATCCCTGCTCTACTCTGAAACCAGCATCCCATCCCGGGGCCGCACGGACAGATGCCCTGAAGGCATTCAGCAGAGAGCACAGAGTCCACCTGTTCAAGGCTGGGATGGGCCGAATGGTGGCCCCCAAAAGATATGTCCAGGTCCTAACCCCCAGTACCATAGATGGGACCTGATCTGGAGACAGGGGCTTTGCAGATGCAATCAGGTCACGACCAGTCATGCTGGAAGAGGCGGGGGTGGGAGATACAGTGACTGTGGAGAATTACAAAAGAAATCCGCACAAAAGACTTGGATTCCTTCCAAATCCCTGCGCTCCGCGACCTGACCACGCTTGAACACGGCTTCTAGCAGCCAAGGGCCGCGATCCTGGGAGACCCGGCCCCCCACAGGCATGTCTACCTGGGAAAGTTCAACGATGCCAAATCTGACCGGTTCAGCCACCACTGGACACAGGGCCCGCCCCTTCCCCAGAGCATTTGTAAGAGGGCTCCCAACTCGGAACCCTTCTCCGTGCCTTTGAAACGTCTGTGTACCTCCTACAACCCAGGAGGGTCTTTCTCAAGGCCCTGAGAAGCCCTCCTTTGAGCTGGACTCCCCATGAAGGACAGAGCCTCAGAAGCCCAGGCCCCATGCCAGAGGGAACCCTAACTTCCATAGCCAGCTCCCCTCCGCATTGATGCTGACCGACCCTCTGCGAGTCTTCGCTTCAGCACCTGCTCCCTCCTCCTTCCCCTCCTCCCCCTCGAGAATACAAGTCAACATGGAATGGAGCTCAGCTCTTTCCCCTGCTGTCAGTAATTACCAAATAAGACCTTTTCTCCCCACGGTAACTATGTCCAGCTGTATTTCTCTTCAACGCTGGCGTCTCTGTAAGAGGAGAGACGCACAGACACGCAGGGAGAAGGCGCTGGGATGACTGACGCGGAGGTGGAGCGATGTATCTACAAGCCAGAGGAGGCCAAAGACGGCAGGCAGAGCCCAGGCTGGGAGCATTCTTTTACTCAGGAACAGGTTCTCCCTGGGGGCATCCAGAATGTACCGACCCTGCCTGTATCTTGCTCTTGGACCTCTGGCCTCCAGAACTGGGAAATAATATGTTTCTGTTTCTCAAAGCCACCCAGTTTGTGGTCCTTTGTTATGGCAGCCCCAGGAACCTGGCACACTCACCAGGAGCCTCCCAAGTGCGGAAGGTGTAATTCCTTGCGGGGGGACACACCTCTCGGCTTCATGTCTGGGGGGCAGGGCCTGGGTATCCGAGGTCACCCCGTAGGAACTCCAGGTCTCCGGGCCCAACCCCACACCCAAGGCCCTGGACACCAGTACCTCGTGCAGGTTGTCACACATCACTGCGGGAGACGCTGCCCCTGCTCTCTCCCAGACCCTGCCCTGAGCTCCTTTCGTCCTTGCTGGTTCCAACCCGTGTGCTTTCACCGTGAGTGACCACAACCACCGTAACTGTGAGCCGATCTATGGCTCTTCTGAGTCCTGGGAGCCCCCCTGGTGGAGCACCGAGCCTCAGGGTGCGCTCGGGGAGCGCTGAGCATACTGCGACCCCCGTGGTTTTCAGAATGTAGGTGGCCGGTGTGACAGGCGGCCAGAAGCCCCGGCTGCTGGGGAGGGACCCAGGCCGCCCCTCTGGCTACCTGCTGACATCGCTTCAGGTGTTCCACCTCCTGCAGGGCCTGCTCCCTCTGCGTCCTCAGGTCGAGCTTCTCCAGACTCAGTCTCTCCACCAGTTTCCTGGCTTCCTGGAACTTCTGCATGAGGAACTCCTTCTCCTTCCTCTGGCTGCCCTGGAAACGCTGCAGCTCCTCACAGCGCTCCCGGAGCATCTGGTTGCTCTGCCGGATGGCATCTGTGGCAGAGGAGATGGGAGGGAGGTCAGACTCGGCAGGCGGGCCCATCACAGTGCCCTCCCTACTGCGCTGTGCAGCCTCTCACACAGAGATGGCCTTGAAACACTTCTTCCTATTTTGCATAACACTTTCAAAGTTATTTATGGCACTGATAAAGCCCCTAAATTTCTCCAGAGAGACTGAATACAACAGCTTTGTTTACAAGTGTGTGCCAATGGGACACCTGGGTGGCTCAGTGGTTGAGCGTCTGTCTTTAGCTTGGGGCATGATCCCGGGGTCCTGGGATCGAGTCCCACATCGGGCTCCCCACAGAGAGCCAGCTTCTCCCTCTGCCTCTCTCTCTGGATCTCTCATGAATAAATAAGATCTTCAAGTCAAATAAAATATAAAAGTATATGCCAAGTGCCACTTTCTTTGTAAGTGGCTCAAACCCATTGGTATCCTGGCCAGGTCCAGGGCTCACCAGCCTGCCCTGGGGCGCTCAGGCATCCCCTTCAGAATCAGGAAACCCCAGGCTACCCACAGACTCAGGGAAGGCCACCAGGGCAAATGGCCCCTTGGCATCGCTAGCCACAGCCTGGAAGGACCAGAAGGCTCGAAGTGCCCCAGTGAGTGGCCTCCCTGAGCCTCACCATCCCCACCTGCGTGTTCAACAGAAATAATCACACCCACCTCACAGGATCACAAGAGTTAAATGAAAAAGCAAAGTGCTCTGGGCACAATGAACGTTCGAGAAACCACCAGTCCCCCCATCACCAGGCTGAAGGATGAGTATGTGCCAAGGCCAGGCAGTCAGCAGAGGCTGAGGAAAGGAGAGCCACACACTCAGGGACACCCTGGGCAGCAGAAGACCATCGAGGGGTGACAAAACTGATCGGTGACACACAAAGGTTCTCACAAGTACAGAACTGTGTAAGATCAGAAAGAGCAGTAGCTTCATGTCACTCTCTAGTCAAAACCCTTCACTAGCTAACTAGTGCCTGTTGACGGAACATTCTTTTACTCAAAAGGCAGTAGCAGTGGCTTCTGAGCCCAGCTCACTCTACTGCCCCCATGTGACACCCCTCTGCAGGGGAGGCAAGCTGAGTGTGGCCCTTATACAGGGTCTCCTGCCTCAGGCATGCTTCTGCCACCCACCTCCACCCTCCCCCACCGAGCCTCAACTCATAGGCAACTTCTTTTTCTATCAAGGTAAAATTCGCATAACCCCAAATTCATCATTTTAAGTATTTTATAGTACACAGTCATTCAGGGGTTTCTGTGTACTCACAAAGCTATGCACAATCACCTCTAGCTAGTTCCAGAACATTCCCATCACCCCCCCAACAAAAAAACCTGAATCCAGTGGCAGTCACTTCCCCATCACCCCCAGCCTCTGGCATCCACTTAGCGGATTCTCCGGATCTACCTCTCCTAGACACGTATCATCAACAGACTCCTGCACTAGGTACATGCAACTTCTTTCCTAATGTCCCCCCGAAATATTGCAAGCAAAGTCTACATCCACTCCCCTGCCCCCTCCTCCCTAGGCACAGTCATCAGCATTGTTGGGGGTGGACACCCTCAGGGCCCCGGGGGGTTTAACCCAGGGCCTGACACATGGCACCCATTTGACAGAGATGTGCAGAGCCAACACTGTGTGGGGCCAACACACTGCACAACCGAGCATCAGCGCAGCTGGAGGTCATGCAGCTTCAAGGTCTCCATGGGCTACTAAAGCCTCAGCTCCCTGCGTGGGGAGCTGGTGGTGCCGTGATCCCTCTACAGCCAACCTGCCACACTCTTGTCCCCAAGTCTCCCTTGCTGGAGCACCCTCTTACAGCAGAAGCTACACACACAGTCATCGAAAGAGTGCACCCTCCCCACCTCCAACCTGACTCCCAGCTCTATGTGACCCCAAGACAGTTGACATTAGGGACACCGCTGGCTGTCATAACTGGAAGAGTTCTATTGGCATCTAGTGGGTAGAGGCCAGGGATGCTGCTCAACACCATGCAGTGGCCAGGACAGCCGTAGATGTCTAAGCATGATGACAAGGTGGGGGGCGGGTGAGGGCGGGCACAAATGTGGCCCACGCAAAGGCCGCCAGCCGCCCCCCTGGGAACCGGAGAAGCTGCCCACGCCCCATCCGCGTGAGGACAAGGCAGGTGAGCGCGCGGTGGTCGAGGTGGGGATGGAAATGGGACCCCTGGCCCCCCAGCACCATGGGCACGCAAACCCTGACCTCGCCTCCTGCCCGGGCCGGCCACGCCCCTTCCCAGGGCCGGTCACTCCCCCCAGGAGCCGCTGGGCCGCTCCCAGAACGACCTGGCGCTTAAGGGACCAGGATGGAGACACAAGAGCCCGGCCACGGTGGCCCCACTGGGGCAACTCGCAGGGCTCGCTGCAGCCCCTGAGCTCCCTGCAGGGTCGGCGGGCGCTGCTGTCCCGCTTCTCCCTGTGCCCACTCCCGCTTCTTCCCTGTCCTCTCCCTCCCTTCCCTTCCCCAGCGGGGGTCTGAAAGCACTCTAAATAAAAACTTCCTGGACGTCAATCTATACCTCAGAGTCCATTTCCAGGGAATCTCACCTGAAACAAGCAGGAAGGTGGTCGAGTTTGAATCACCAGCTGGCTCTCAGGTACACCCCCACCCAGACCCAGTAAAAGCAGACACAGATGAGTAGACTAAGCCTCCCCCACCCAACAGGGCTGGGATCTCTGACGTTTTACCCCGCACACTTGCTGCCCTCCTCACCTCGGAGCTCTTGATTCTCCTCCAGACAGCGTTGGTAGGTCTCAGGAGTGCCCTGCTCAGAAGGTAGGTGGAGCATAGCTGGCTTCCCCAAAGAAGACTCTTCACCCAGCACGTCCTGGTCCCCGGCCGGGCCGCCACTGGGCTGCACCATCTCACTTGGCTGACTCTTCCAGGGGGCCCTGCTCATCCAACAAGTCAGGGTCTGGAAGAGAAAGGCAGCAGAGGAGTCACATGACACCCCCCGCAGAATTCTCTTACCTTGCAGGACAAGGGGTGCAGTCTGTGCAGAGTTCTGGGGCTACACTTTAAGCAGAATGCTGAGCACTTTATCAAGTGTGATAGAAAGCTAAAACAGGCTTTTCAGTCCACAAGGTGGCATATACTCTCATTCCGAAGGGAGTTGCAGCCCCATACGTGGGGTCAGAAACGCCATGCTGCAGCACTTGTTAAAAACTACCAAGCACCAGTCTCCAGGCTGCAGACTAAAATTAAGAATTTCACAAGAGAACGGAAATTAGGGAGAGGGTTATTTTCATAGGGAGGTGTCAGTGTGCTGTGGATCCTACCTACTACATACACCTCCAAGCTGGAGTGAAGAATGTTAGCCCCCATCTCCTGTAGTACCTTGAATCCTGACCCCCCAAAACCTGTGAATGTGACCTTATTTGAAAAAAGGATTTTTTTGCAGGTCTAAGTAAGTGAAGGATCTTGAGATGAGATCATCCTGGATTAGAGTGGCCTTAAATCCAATGACAAGTGTCCTTAGAAGAGGCACAAACACAGAGGCCACATGACCACAGAGATTAGACTGACAGTGGCCACAAGCTAAGGAAGGCCTGGAACCACCTGCAGCTGGAAAAGGCAGGAAGGATCCTCCCCGAGTCCGCTGAGGGAGTGTGGCCCTGAAGACACGTTGATTTCAGACTTCTGGCCTCCAGAATTGGAGAGGATAAAGGTCTGTTGTCTTAGCCACTCGGCTTACACTCATCTCTCACGGCAGCTTTAGGAAATTAATCCACGTAGGATGAGGGGCTTCAAGGACACTTAGAACCTGATGAGTGTTTGCTGGAACTGAGGGCCTGAAGGGGATATATAGTATCTGATGCGTGCCAAGGAACCTAAAAGTGGGGCAGCCTGGGTAGCTCAGCGGTTTAGCGCCGCCTTCGGCCCAGGGCGTGATCCTGGAGACCCGAGATCAAGTCCCACGTTGGGCTCCCTGCATGGAGCCTGCTTCTCCCTCTGCCTGCGTCACTGTCTGTGTGTGTGTGTGTGTGTGTGTGTGTGTGTGTGTCTCATGAATAAATAAATAAAATATTCTAAAAAAGGAATCTGAAAGTGGGAGCTGCCCAGCCTAAGACAGCAGGGCAAAGACACACGCAGAGCTGTTTGCACTGTCCTATAAACTACAGAAGTTGGCCGTGAGGGACAGCACTAGCCTAAAGGCCTTTTAAATTCTGCCCAAGAAGACTACCTGGAGGAGGAGGCCGATCCTAAGACAAGCTTGCAGGAGCAGGCCCTGAGCTGAGAGAGGATGGCTTTAATGCCATAAACTGTTACATTTATACTGCTCCACTGGATTCCACTGAACTCCCCCCACGAACCCATCGGCGGTATCTGGGGAGCCACTGATCCTTCTCTGAGCTTCCAGAAGAGCCCACTCCCTGGTTCTCCCCCGCCTCACTGGCTGCTCCTGCTCAGACCCTTTCACTGGATCTTCCTCACTAACCCAGCCCATCATGTTGTGGTGCCCCCCAAGCTCTGTTCTGGGGTCTCTCCTCTACCTAGAGTCACTCCAGTACACAGTTCATTCAGCCTCACAGCTTTAACCCCCACTCTCATGCTGACGATGCTCCAAATTATACCTTTCCTCAACTCCAGACACCTAGCAAACTCAACATCTCCACTTGGTTAGCTGGCATTGCTCTCAAACTAACCTTAAAATCACACTCCTGACAGCCCTCCAAAGCCAGTTCCACCCACAGCCCTCCTTATTGTCAGCTGATGTCCAGCTACAGGACAAAAACCTCGGACTCCTGTGACTCCTCTTGACTCCTGTGTCTCTCAGCTCACATGTAATGCATCAGGAAATCCTGTCAAAATGTATCCCAGAACCTACTTGATGATACTAAGCAATTATTAAGTATTTTAAGTGTGACAGTGGTGTTGTGGTTGTTAATTCTTTCTTAGACGCGTGCTGAAATATTTACAGATGAAATGATATGGTGTCAGGAACTTGCTCCAAATAATGTGGGAACTTCTGGGTATCTACCTGAGAAAAACGAAAACACATGTGTACACACAAATGCTCGTAGCAGCATTATTCACACCAGCCAAAGCATGGAAATGAACCAAATGCCCGTCAACTGATGAGTAAACAAAATCTAGTACATCCACATGCTAAAAGATGGACAAATCTTGCAAAAATTATGGTAAAAACAAAAGCAAGTCATAAAAGCCCGCATATAATATTATTCCATTTACATGAAATGTGCAGAAGAGGCAAATCCATAGAGGCAGAAACATTGGTGGATACTTAAGGGCTGGGAGAGATGGGGTAATGGGGTGATAGCTAAAGAGACACCGGGTTTTTTGGAGTCCTGAAAGTGTTCTGAAATGAGATAGCAGTGATGGCTGCACAAGCCTGAATATACTACAAACCAATGAACTGTACACTTTACATGGGTGAACTGTGTGGTTTGAGAATTAGATCTCAATAAAGATGCTATTGAAAATAATAAAGGAAGAGGATTGTGAGGGGTATAAATTAAACAAAATTAACATTGAGTTGACAACTGTCAAAGCTGGAGAGTTAGGACATGAGATTCACCATACTATTCTTTCTACTTTCGAACATCTTTGAAATTTTTCATAATAAAATGCTCAAAGCATTTTGAGCATCCACCCATCTGGATTACTGCAGTGACATCCTAACAGATCAACCTGCTCCTATCGTTGTCCCCTATAGTTTGTTCTTCCCACAAGGGCCAGATCAGCCTAAAAGGGAATTCCGATCATGTCCGTCCTGTACACTGTTCCCTACCACGGTTCCTCATTGCCCCGCGTGTAAAAGCCAAAAGTTCTAAAATGGCCCGCAAGCTCTGAACGACGTGGTCCCTCATTGCTTCCTCTCCGAGTATTCTCCCCTCACTCACTCTGCTCCAGCTATAGTGGCCTCCTTGCTGTTCCTCGAAAATGCCAGGAGGGCTCATCCATCCTCGGGTCACAGAAAAGGTCTGAGCTCGGGTAAACATTAATCATTTTTGCAAAGTGAGTAAACTGAGGCACATGAAGATATGTAATTGCCAAACTACATCTGAGACCTTTTAAAAGAATTTAACAAGCTCTTATGTAGTCAAGTTTGATGAACAGAAAATGTCTCCAAACTATAGAAGAGTCACCCACGAAGCAAGGGTGTGGTCAGACTCCGCGACGGCGGCGGGAGAGGCAGAAACAGCCCCAAGGTAACCCGGCTCCTGCATCGGGCCAAGGCGGGCTCTATAAGCAGGCGGCAGAAACGAGCCAGGGCCCAACAAGAGGGGGAAGCAAGGACGTCCGAGCGAGTGTCGGAGGCGGCGGAACGCCCACCAATAGTACCCTGTCTTCGGGAAGAAGACCACACCTGTCAGCAGCGTCGGTCCGACGTGAAAAGGGCAGGAATGGCGAGCCTCGAGCACTCCTCGGACCCTGGCGTTCCGAGAAAGTCCGAGAACCCTTCCCTCGTCCCGCTGCCGAAACTCACACTTCCGGCTTCCGGTGTCGTAGCTGTGAGATCCGGAAGTAAAACACACAAGCCCCGCCCCTGTACGGGAACCGGCAGAGGCGTGCCAGAGGCCGTGCCGGAGGGGAGCCCGAGCCCGCCAGCCCTGGGCGGCCCGCAGGATGTTCCTAGTGATTTGTAGCACCTGCTACTTTTCGGGGGCGTCGCGACCCAATCTCCAACTCGTCTCCCGGGGGCTAGGCCGCCCCGCCCCCAGCCAGGGGAGGAGCTAATAAGGAGCCGCACGGGCTGTAGGAGGCCCCGCCCAGGAACAGGGTCGAGGAGGCGTGGCCACACCGCCGGCGGAAGTGGAGCCCTCCGCGAGGGCGCAGGGCCGCCCGGGGCGGGCTAGAAAGCTGGACCGTAGGGCTGGGCCAGGCCAGCGATGAGTACGCGGGCGAACGATGCAGAGCTGCACGAGGACGCGCGAGGCACCGAGGACGCGGCGCAGAGGGAGCGGGGACAGAAGGCACCCGGCGGCCGAGCGGCCCGCGCAGGTGCCCAAGGGGCGGGGCGGGCCGAGGGTGGAGGCTTTGCGCGGCGGGAGGGCGGGCTTTCCCCTCCGCCCCAGCGCGGGCTGCGCGCGCACCTCCCCGCGCCTGGGCTCGGCCCCACCCACGGGGAAGGGCCTGTTGCGGCCCCGCCCACGCGCCTCGCCTGAGGCGGGTCAGCTCAGCCCAGGCGCCCGCCCCCGCTGGTTAAATGAGCCGGCGGGGCGCAGCCCCCGGAAACGGCCGGGAATTCCGGGGCTTTGAGCGCGGCGTTCGACGGCAGCGGGGCGCAGGTAACGTAGTGGCCAGGCGCCGGGCCAGCGGAGGGGCGTGCGGTGCCGCCAGGCCCTTTGATTTGCCCAGCTTGGGAGCGGAGCAAAATCGAAAGGGCTTACCTGATCCCAATGCCCCCCCATCCCTCCGTTGGCCCCCTGGGGGGACTGAGACCCTTCAGAGGGGCCGCGACCTGCCGGCGACTCCCAGCTTAGCAGGAGGAGCGCCGGAACTGCCCTCCGTCATCGCCCGGTCTAACGTGCTCCAGCTCATTGTGGAGTTTGCGCTGGAGTTTGGGGTGAGGTGGTCCTGGGCAGGTTGTGCAATGCTCCAGCAGTTCCACTAGTGCTCTGAGTAACTCCGTAAAGTACGCCGTGCAACAAAGCCGCCTAGAGAGTATGGTGGGAGCCCAAATCCTGCAGTCCCTAATCCCCCAACCATCCTGTTCCCAGGCTACTCAGTGAGCGGTTTTAATAATCAGGCATCACTGGGTGAGACCCCAAAGGACCCCTCCAGAAGGGGGCCAACTTCCCCATGCTCTCCTGTTCTGGTGTGTCAACAAGCCTTTCTTTAACCAGAGAGCATCATGGCAGAGCAGGTGGCCCTGAGCCGGACCCAGGTGTGCGGGATCCTGCGGGAAGAGCTGTACCAGGGCAATGCCTTCCATCAATCTGATACCCATATCTTCATCATCATGGGTGCATCGGTGAGTCTCCCCCAGGCCCCACATCTCAAAAGCCAAGCTCAGAGTGTGCCATTGCCTCATGTCCCTTCCTGCTGGGTGCCTGGACTTTCCCAACTGATTGTCCTGGGGCCCCAAGGGCCCCGTTCGGTTGGTCTCTCCCTTTTGGTCCTGCCTGTGCGCCACTATCATCCCAGTACCGCCCAGTATACATGCACTGCCAGGCCGTTCTGAAATCTGTTTGTGGCCATTAATTGTAGACCCGTGTTCTGGAGCTGGGAGGGCCGTCAAGACTCTCTGGTTGGACTTCTTCTTTCACAGGGAAAACTGCAAAAAAAAAAAAAAAATACTGCATCTTTTTCAAATTTGTTTGTAACTTGGTAGATGTTATACGTTGATTAATTCCAAAGACAGGATCTGAGGTGTGAGCTCCACCTTGTCTGTCTCTACCCCAAGTTCCGTGGGAACAAACACTCAACCTTCCTGTGAATACCATGTCATTACCCCAACTTCCAAGGCCTGCCCAGGAGCAATGACCTGTCCCACCCCACCATATACCCTGGGGAACTGCCATTTTCTAGAAGATCAAAGGGTACAAGCAGAAGCAGAGGCATAGCACATGGACCGGAGGTGAAGGAGGGTGGGACAAGAGAGGGAGAGTGGGTCCTAGTGGAGCCGTGACCCCCAGACTAAAGCAGCCTGCTGGTGCGCCACATGGAAACAGGATCTGTGGGGCGGCAAGATGAGCTGCCAGGGTTTTGTCTCCAAGTAAAAGCTTTCGCTCTTTGCTTTCACCCTGGGCAGGACCAACAACCTGTTAACTGTCTTGTGACGTCTCTGCTGGTAACTTGCTGTATAATCTTAAGGAAGAATTCCACCAAAACTAGCTATCTGTGACAGGGGAGGCATCGTGTCTCTGCACCCATGTCAAGATGCCCTTAGCCTTAGAGGAACCTGCTTCTTCGTGCATCAAAGTGCCACTACCTTTGCCTTTGCATAGCCTGCTCTCTGCCAGCTGTTGGGAGTCTGATCAGAACTCTGCAAAGGAGAGCAGGAGGCTGGAGACAGTGCTGGGGGTGGAGATAGGGCTCTGCCAGAGGCAGGGACGGCGGGCCACCCCAAGCGCTGTCCTCTGACTCCATAATCCCGAGAGTAGAGGGACCCAGGGACATGGGGGAGGGGAAAGCAGGCTTAGTCTCTATCTACCCTGGCCCCGGCATGTCCTCTTTAGAGGAGCCATGCCTGTGTTGGCCACAAACCCTCATACCTAGGATTCTGACCATGAGTTCCAAGAAACAGGTTAGAGGAGACATTTACTTGGGATTATTACTCCTCTTCCTCCCACCCCCATAGCAGGCCGTCAGAGGATGCTCCCCCAGAGAAGCCCAGGCCACAATAAATGACTTAGGACCCCAGGCTCTCAACTGTCAGGTAGTTTCTTGAGAGCATCCAAGCTTGCTGTGTGACTGGCAAGTGTCTTTCCTTCTCTGCACCTCAGCTTTTCTTAGGAGCCAATGAGGACTTTTGAAACAAATGCCAAGAGACCTCGGGCTGAGCCGATTCTGTGACTGCTCACTGCCTTCTCCTGTGGCCAGCTTGGGGTTGGGCAACTTTTGTTTGCAATTGGTAGGGTTCCCCTTTGCTCTTCTCTGCTCCAAGAGTGACAACCAGATGCTCAGAGCAGAAATGGGAAGTGCTCCTACAGCAGGGTGGGGTGGGGAGGGACCCCTTGTCCGGGAGTTGTTTGCTCCAGGGGGTTGGGGCTGGGCAGGTAGGCAGGTGGGCCTCCCGTCCTCAGGCAGCATCTGGAACAGCTCCCACCCTCCAGCCCCTGAGGCTTGCTCCTGCCTGTTACGAGGTAGGCACAGTGGTGCTGAGGGTGCACTGTCCCAGAACCTACACTTCTGGGAACCCAGCAAGCTCACTGCTCATTCGTCCAACACTCAGTGATCAAGTGCCTCCTCTGCAAGCTGGTGAGCGTCGGCCCTGCCTTCCCTGTGTGATCTGGGTGGTGAGGGAAGGGACCCAAGGGGAGTCAGTCACCCAATAAGAGCTCGTAGTGGCACATGTGACAGAAAACAGAACTGGGCCCTTGGGCCCCACCGCCTCCAGCACACAGGTCCCACGAGGAGAGCCTGCGGAGTGAGATGTGCAGAGCCAGGGTCAGGGAGCATTCCGTGCAAAGAGCAGAGCAGACTCAGAGCCCTCAGTGGCTGGCAGATGCCCTGGGGCAGGCTGGGCCCACATGGCCCTCCTCTGCCCCTCCTTCCTTCCTTACCTGCTTACCTAAGCCTCGTTCTCAGGCCCAGCTTCCTCCCTGAGAGCGCCCTGGTGCTGGCTCATGGTTACCCAATAGGCTTTGAGCTGCTCTCTGTTCCTCATATGTGGCCACTTACCACCTCCTCGGGACTCCTGCCCCCAGCCAGGAAAGGAGTAGAGAGACTTACCGTCCCCATCTGGAAAGCTCTGGAATTAAAGAAACCAGTTTCTCCTTACAGACCAGTGTTGGGGGCAAGGGGCAACCCTGGGCCTGACAGATCCTAGCAGATCCTGGCCTCCCCCATCTGATAGGACCTCGGGTGGGCGAAGGACTCTCCCCCAACGGGGGGTGAAGGAAGGAGGGGAGGGCCGGGCAGAGACTAGGATGGGGAGTTGGGGGGGGCAGGATGGGCTCGCTGCAGGCTGCTCAGCAAGCCCCTCACCCCCCTGGACCTCAGTCTCCCCACCTGGAGCACAAGGGCCATGGACTTGATGGGTGTTCAGGCCTCCTCCCAGTTTGTGCCCAGACAAGGGGTGACCGAGCTGTCTTGGCCCCTCACTTTTTTGGGGATATTTCAGGGCCACTTTTCCCACCTTGGGTCGATAAGATTCTTGCTGTGTCATGATGACCTTGGCACTTCCCCAAAGGCCTGATGATTCATGAGCCCCAGGGTGGAGGAGGGAGCCTACATCAGCAGCCCCCAGGCTCTCTCTCCCCAGTTGCCAGGAGCCAGCTGGGCCCCAGCCAGGGCCCAGGCCCCACCCCAGGAGGCCGGGCAGATCCTTGACCCCGTGACCCTCGGGGGACTGGGCTGGCCCACCCCTCCCAGGCCTACAGCTGGCCGCCAGCCTCCAACGCCCTGAAATCCTCACACAAAGGTGTCGCCAGTGCTTGGGGCTTGTACAACTGGCAGCCGAGGTCAGAGCCAGGCGGCGACGGGCAGGCGGTGGCCCAAGGCCCTTTGCCCCAGCCGGGAGGGATACAGCGGCTCGGGTCTTCCTGAGGTCCTGCTTCTCCTGCCTGTGACATGTCCCCCGCGGCTCTTCCCCACTGTGCTCCCCAAAGTCAGGAGGCGTCCCACTAGTATGTCGCCCGCTGTGCCTGCGATTGCCGCCCTCAGCTTTGCTCCCTGTCTTTCCGTGTTGGTTCTTGCAAGTGTCTGGCGTAGGCTGGCGGGAGGCAGGCCACCCCACTTCCCCACTGGAGGAGCAGCAGCGCGGGCCCCCTCCCACCGCCCCGGGGTGCACGTCCCCCTCCCCCGATGACGGGGATGCTGCTGCGGCGCTGAGCTGAACAAGGCAAG